CATCTCCTGCGGCTCCGGAGCCTCCTGCTCCCCCCTCCCCCTCCCCCTCCTTCCTCCTGCTGCCCCCCCCAGGCTTCAGTCCTGGCTGGGGCAGCAGGAACATCACTTCCTGGGCCGTCGAGCCGGCCACGTGTCTGCCCAGGCCAGGTGGCAGTCCTGGCTGGGGCGGCGGCCGCGTCTCCCCAGGCCAGGCTGGGTGGCAGGGGGACATTGCTTCCTGTGCCGTCCCTGGGCCACTCACCCGGCCATATGTCTCCCTGGGCCAGGCAGGCTGCAGCAGGGGGGCATCACTTCCTGGGCCGTCCCCAGGCCATTCCCTAGGCAGCCGAGCTCACCATGCATCTCCCTGAGCTGGTCCGTGGGGTCCCGGGCACCTTTCAGCGACTTTTACCGCCTCCTGCCTCCGTCCCCTCCCTGCCCCTTTGGCGCCGTCTGCCTTTCTTTCTCTCTCTCTCTCTCTTCATCTGGAGGGGGGGCAGAGGAAAGAGAGAAAGAGAGAGGGTGACTTGTTTGGGCAAAGAACCAGTGGGGGACAAGGCAAGCTAAGTCAAAAGACACGGAACTTTCGTACTACCTTCTCCCGAACCCTTGTTATCCCTGCCACAAACTCAGCTCATCCGCCCTCACTCTCTCCTCTCTTCGAACGAGGCTGCTTGCTTCAAATGGTTTGCTACCGAGGCCCGGGAGCCAGGCAGGCGGGTAAGTCTCGATCGCAGTATTTTGTTGCTGTTGTTTTGCGCACGCGCGGCGCTGGCTGGGAACAGAGCCAAGCAAGCTCTGTGGTTGGAAGTCCCTGCAGCTTAGGAGCCAGGATTTCCCCCCTCTCAGTCCCAAATCCCAAGCAGGATTCACCACTTCGGGATTGGAAATGAGCTGCGAGGAGATGGTCTGTCTCTTTTCCTCCCTTGCTCCCTTCCGCGCTGGCTACTGAGGCTCCCTGCTGGGTGCAGTCGGCTTGAAGCGGAGGAGGGGGAGGGGGAGGGGCCTTTCAAAGCGTGACATTGCAATGGATGGGACAGCTTTTCAGGAGGGTGCGGATGAAATGTAGCTCTCCAGATATTGCTAACATACAGCGTTTGCTGTCCCTGCAGCAGAATTGATGAGAGGTGCTGGCATTTCTCTTTGTCAGAATGTGGTGAATCTACATTGCCCATTTCTAAAGGAGGAAGTTAAACGTTTTGGTAGGTGAACCGGTTCTGTTAGTAAAGGGGGGGGGAGGTGAAGAGAAAAAGAGAGGGAGAGAGAGAGGAAAGAGGGAGGAAAGAAAGAGGAAAAGGAAAGAGGAAGAAAGAGAAAGGGAGAGGAAAGCGAGAGGGAGGGGAGAGAAAGGAAAGAAAGAGAAAGAGGGAGAAAGAGAAAGGGAGATGAAAGGAAGGGAGAGGGGGAGAGAGAAAAGAGGAAGTGAGAGGGGGAGAGAGAGGAAAGAGAAAGAGGAAAGGGAGAAAGGAAAGAGAAAAAGAGGAAGAAAGAAAGGGAGATGAAAGAAAGGGAGAGGGGGAGAGAGAGGAAAGAAATAGAAAGAGGGAGAAAGGGAGGAAAGGGAGAAAGAGGAAAGGAAAGAGGAGAGAAAGGGAGAGGGGGAGAGAGGAAAGGAAAGAGGAAAGAGAGAAAGGGAGAAAGAGGAAAGGAAAGAAAAAGGAAAGAGGAGAGAAAGGAAGAAAGGATAGAAAGGGAGAAAGGGGAAAGAAAGAAAGGGAGAGGGAGAGGAAAGGGGGAGAGAGGAAAGAGGAAAAAGGGAGAAAGAGGAAAGAGAAAGGGAGAAGAAAGAGGAAAGAGAAAGGGAGGTAGAGGAAAGGGAGAGAGGAAAGGGAGGGGAAAGAGAAAGAGGGAGGGGGAGAGAGGAAAGAAAGGAAAGAGGAAAGAAAGAAAGCGAGAAAGAGAAAAGAGAAAGGGAGATGAAAGAAAGGGAGAGGGGGAGAGAGGAAAGAAATAGAAAGGGAGAAAGAGGAAAGAAAGAAAGGAAGAAAAGAGAAAGGGAAAGGAAAGAGAAAGAGGGGGAGGGGGAGAGAGAGGAAAGAGGAAAGGAAGGGAGAAAGAAAAGAGAAAGGGAGATGACAGAAGGTGAGGGAGAGGAAAGAAATAGAAAGAGGGAGACAGGAAAGAAAGGGAGAAAGGAAAAGAAGAAAGAGAAAAGAAAGGGAGAGGAAAGAAAGGGAGGGGAGAGAGGAAAGAGGAAAGAAAGGGAGAAAGAGAAAGGGAGATGAAAGAAAGGGAAAGGAGGAGAGGAAAGAAATAGAAAGGGAGAAAGAGAGGAAAGAGGAAGAAAAGAAAGGGAAAGGAAAGGAAAGAGGGAGAAAAAAAGAAAGGGAGATGAAAAGGGGAGGGAGAGAGAGGGGGGAAAGAAATAGAAAGGGGGAAAGAGGGAGAAAGGAAAAAAGGGAGAGAGAGGAAAGAAAGGAAAGAGGAAAGAGGGAGAAAGGAAAGGAAAGAGGAGAGAAAGGGAAAAAGGAAAGAAAGGGAGAAAGAGAGGAAGGAAAGAAAGGGAGAGGGAGAGGAAAGGGGGAGAGAGTAAATAGAAAGAGGGAGAAAGAGGAAAGAGAAAAGGAGAAGAAAGAGGAAAGAGAAAGGGAGGGAGAGGAAAGAAAGGGAGAGAAGAAAGAGGGAGAGGAAAGAGAGAAAGGGGGGGAAGCGCAAGTGCCCCCCCCTCACACACACACACACAGGGGGAAGAAGACTAGCAGACCAAGGGCAGAAAGAGGGAGGGGGAGAGGGAGAGAGAGAGAGAGATCCTTTTGACATCTAAAATGAAGATAAGACTGCATATATCCATATATATATGGATATATGCAGTCTTATCTTCATTTTAGATATCCAAAGGGTTTTGCGGCTCCCTATGTTTTGTTTTCAGTGGGAAACGGGTCCAAGTGGCTCTTTGAGTATTTTGGGTTGCCTACCCCTGATCTAACTCCTTCCTCCAGAGAGAAAAGAGCAGGACAGGAACTTCCAACTAAGCTAAAAAAAAAAAAAATCTACCCCTCTTTATCATTCTGATCTCCAATGATGGGTATACAGTAGACCATATAACTAAATGACATACAATCCATAAAGACTCTCTCTTTTTTCTATCCTATCCATTTCCTTCCATCATTATCAGATTTTATTTATTTAATTATAGGCTTATTGTATTTATGGATCATTTCCTCTCTTGGAGCATCTTGCATGGACTCTGTTCCACCAACTTTGTTTTTACATGTAAAATATAACTATGGAAACATTTCTCAATACAAGAGCAACCTACAGCTGGTGTGTAAAAAAGGAACACACAATATGAAACATTCCATACTGCATGCCATAGCAAAAACAATTGTAATAATCATGCCACTGCAAAAATAAACTCTCTATAGCTAAGAGAAAGATCTAATAAGACTTCCTTGAAAAGTTTTACCTTCCACCACTGGCACTCTACTTGAGTACAAAACACAAAACATTCATTATTTTGTGGCTGAATAGACAGGCTCCAGTGATAGCTCCTAGGAACCAATTAAAGGGGTTAACTGAGCCATGAGGCTCCATAAATGAATCCAATTCCTTTTTTCTTTATTTTCAACTAAAGCTCTGACATAAAGCCAGGAGAGAAATGCATAAGCTCTGCGAACTTATATAGTGACAAATGACTGTATTACCACTACCAATAACTTTCCAGACACAGGGAAGTTCAATGAGCTTCCTATTGTCTTATATTATTATGACAAAAGAGAAAATGAGATGTCTCAGCAATATAAGCATAGTATATTTAAAAAATGGAAGAAGAAAGAAAGAAAGAAAGAAAGAAAGAGAAAGAAAGAAAGAAAGAAAGAAAGAAAGAAAGAAAGAAAGAAAGAAAGAAAGAAAGAAAGAAAGAAAGAAAGAAAGAAAGAACTCTTTATTTTGTAAGCAAATTCTGACTCCTCCTTGGCTCTTTTTTTGCAAACACAAATGTTTAATTATAAATATTTCAGCCTAAAAATAAAAGGATGCAGTCAAGTTTGTAGTGGCTGAAATTCTCCAAAAGAGGACATGGTATTAATCAGAATTCTGATAATTAGACAATTGGTCAAAAGGTTCTTATGTTGAAATGACAGAATTAACATTCATGCCTTAGCTGGCCTTTAGGATTCTGGAAAGTTCCACAAGAAACTACGAGCCTGTGGGTTAAACATGTGATCGAAACCATGGAAGGCATACATGAGTATTTTTTTATAACGTCTATAGCTTATCTACTGCATGCTGACTTCCTCTTATGTACTGTAACTAAGTACAAATAAAAAATCTATATATACTTGCTTCAAGCTACATTTGGGGTTCTTTTTATGGGAAGACCCACCTTTCTTCGGCTGAATAAGTATGTCCATTAATCAAAAGAGATCTGGACTCTGAGTTGCCAGGGCCTCCTCTCTGACTATCCATTTAGGCTTGACATCAACTCAGGAATGGCAGTATAAATGTTGTATTTGGCAACACAGTCTTCTTTCTAGCTGTCCTATAGAGCTGCAATATGCACAAACTGTTTCTGTAGTTAAAGGAATACATTGATTGATTGATTGATTGATTGATTGATTGATTTAGAAAACCTTTATGGGTGTTTGTCTTATAAATAACAATATGTGGTTCACAGCAACAATGATGATCATTTGCTATTCACATCATGGCTGCATAACACCAGAAAAGGAAAAGCCAGTAGCTTATCAACCCAACATCAAACCAGAAGCATAAATATAGAGAACCTTTTAATATAGTTGATTTTATCATTAGCATGGGAACTCTAAACATCCATGATGTATGCTGGGGCATATGGCTCTGTTAGGTACATAACCTCACCAACGTGTTCAAGTCATTTGTTGGAGTATTAATATGGACAGTTATACTTTACTTTTCAGATCCAGAAACTGAGATAAAATACAGAATTGAGGCATAAAGGAGGACATAATCTTAGTGAGCAATTAGACAATCAAAGATACCCAAGAAGAAAATAGGAAGTAATATCAAATATTTGACAAGTGTAGGTTAATTGGTGTTCATACCGTCATAAATCCATCCAGCAAACCCGAATCAGGTTTTGGAGGAGCTTGCAATCGTTCCATGGACCACTTTTCAATTATGGACACCACCTGACTATTTTCTGTATTTAGAATCCTAAAACCAGTCATGTTTACTCCACTATACCGATAAGGCTCCACATCAAGAGCAAAGAGGTCCTAAAGAAAAGGAGAAAATATTTTTAGATATTTTTATCTAAATATTTAAATATTTTTAGATATTTCATCCATACATAATCTCCCTGTTTCCAAACATGTTTCTTCTCTCATGTATAACAATGATAACAAAACAATACATCTAACCATTTGTGTGCTTTCTGAAGCATTTGACAACCATATGCAACCCCAATGCAACCGTGAATTAAATGATTTGATAATAATGCCCAATGAACATCACAAATGTGTGATGCTTCTAGGACATTTCTACACGTCCACTAAGTCAGGGATCCCCAACCTATGGGATGCAGCCCACTACCAGGCCATGGCTTCTTGTGGAAAAGGCTGGCTGGTGTGCATATGTGTGCATGCATACTCCCCCCACTCGCACTAGCGTCAGTGGCCCTGTTTTCATGTGCTGATGTGAATTGGGCCGCTAGTGCCAGGCAGGTCTGCACAACCCATTCATGCATGTAGAAATGGGGCCGCTAGTACCAGGCCACTGTGTGTGGCCTATTTGCGCATGCACAAATGGGTTCACTAGTGCTGCGCCAATGCGCACAGTGCTGTCTGTATGAATGTGTGTGCACCAATTTGGAAGCTGCTCTCCTTCCCTCCAGGCCGTGAGCCCGGAAAGGTTGGAGACCTTTGCACTAAGTCATAATAAAACTCCATAGCTATTAACATAAACATTTATAGACTGTCAAGGAAAGTCACTGAGCCACATCCTTTGCTGTTTGTGAACAATCCATAAGTCTTCATTATACAAAGGTTGTGTAATAATTCTGCTCTAATAAATCTTTTTACAATGTTTGTCTATAATTTATATATTAGGAAATAAAAGGAAGTTCCTAATCCAAACACACTCAAACCTGTAAATGCATGTGTTACTTATTTACTTACACAGGCCATGTAGGTGATAAAATTTGTGACGTGCCACAAATTCCATCTCTTACGAACTTGTGTGCAGTATTATACAAGTATCAAAAGGTGAGGTTTATGATGGAACATCTACATATTTTGTCACTTCAGTGTCATCATTACTAACTTCAGGCTTGTCTAAATTTATAATATTTCTCTCCTGCTCCCATTAAAAGTCTGCTTAAGAAAAATAACAGAAAGTTTAGATAGTTTGCTAGGCACAATATGGAAGATAGTAGTAAATATAAACACATCTTCCAGAAGTCATATTCAAAGCTTCACTATGTTGACCATTCTTGGAATACTAGCACAAAATGCAATTATGGCAATGTAACATGCACAAGCCACTCTCATTTTACTGCACTATTGATCCCAAAACATGAAAGCAAACAATCCTGCAGAAAAGGTTTGGCATGATTGAACAAAACCAATACTATGAAGAAAAGAATAGCAAGAAAAGCTTTTCCAGAATAAGGATTGCTAAAAAGCCATTAAGATGAACAGAATCCACTATTTTTCTCTACTTTTCATCTTTTCCTAGATTTGTCTCTCAAATTTCCAAGGCAGACTTGGACAACCAGGGGGAAGGGATTCTGATTTTCAGTATTTCCATTTCTTGACAAATAGATAATGTTTAATTTCATAGACTATTTTTTTCCATCTAGGGGACATCTAGGGGTAATCTAGGTCTGTTTTCAATAATCTGATTCTTTCCAGGGTAGTTAAGAATATTACTCCATGACTTCCGGTGAAGATGGCCAACTAAACGATATGCCCAGGGAAAGATCCCTGAAGGGTTTTTCCCTGGCTGTTGCTTTTTCAACTTCCAATAGAAGAAACTGGCATTTCTTTAGTTTATATGACTCTCCTGGGTTAGGGAAAGTCCTAGACTCATCCCACAAGATCCTCATATAGCAAAGATCTGCAAGTAGCTTTAGGAGCTGTGCTTCAAAGCAGACAGCTGGGGGGGGTGGTGAGGCTGCAATCAGTATGTTGCTGAAGAAGCAGCTATTTTGGAATTTATTTTTCAAACAGATAGTAAGTTGTGCTTTCATTTCTTAATAATTTTAAGGATTATTAATCTTTATTAAACTAATAGAGGCTATATTTAGCCACAGCCTATTATTCCTTTTTGAGGATCTGTGCCATTTTGGAGATTTCTTCATTGTTAAACAATGAGAAGGCTGCTAAGGCAAGCTAAATAAGAAATTATGGAGTATCTTTTTTTAAAAAAAATGATGGAGAAATATAAGGGTAGAAAGTAGTGGTTCTAGTTTATTATTTTTAGTCATTTGTAGCTTAGTCTGCTTTGCTATGAATGGCCAAAACTTTCTGATTTTTATGATTTCCGATTGGCCAGCAATTCTTCAGTGACTTACAAAAAAGCTACTCTTTGATTAAAGAGTAAGAAGATGGAGGAGGGAACTATTAGAGATGTATTTGAAAAATCCTTAAATAAAATCCAACAATTCATAGACCAACTAAATGTCTATGGAGATTCTCAGTCATCCAAGTCATAATTGCCCCAAAGGTGCTTTTTTAAAAGGCAACTGGACTTTCTTGCTTTTCTTTGAAGACTCTCACTTCTCATCCAAGAAGTTTCTTCAGCTCTGAAGACTACAGGAACCATTTGAGTTTCAGTTTGAGATGCAGACAACACAGACTCATCCCCAACAACCTGTGCCTCTGCAGAAAGTACAGCTCCACAACAGTCCTTTCAGCAGTTCCAAGAAGGCTCCACATCCATTTGAACTACTCAGGTGACCCTGAGAACACAGACAAACCTCCAAGTAGCCTCAGTGACTCTCTAAAACAGGGGTGTCAAACTGCTGGCCCATAGGCCGGATGGGTCATGCAGAAACTGCCCCCACCCCAACTCCAGCAATGGGGAAATCGCAACATGTTGCGACATGTCACATAATGTGGCAAGTTTGATACCCCTGCTCTAAAAGAATGAAAATGACCAGCTGTCCGCAAGGAATATAAATCTTTCATATTCCCCACTATCCAGTCAGAGCTGAAGAAGCTTCTTAGATAAGAAGTGAAATGTCTTCAAAGAAAAATAAGAAAGTTCAGTTGCCTCTTTAAAAAGCACCTTTGGGACATAGACTAGCTATGCTCCAAGGATGTTAAAAAAACCCTACTCAAACTATTTTAGAGATGCAAATATGTGTAGAAAGTTACCAAACCACCCAGGTAATTTCACAAGTAGCTGACAATGTACAGGAGTCAATTGCAGTTTTGGAATATAAACCTGACACCAACTTTTATTATGATGGTTTAAATATAAACCTCCCAACACAATAGAAAGAAGAATTCCAAGAAAATCTGCAACTTTTCAAAGGACAAGTATGGGACTCCTTTTTTCATGGACACTCACAAGGATGAGAAATCCTTGAGAAAAAGAGAAGTTTATAACTACTTGATAAACATTTCAGAGAAGAAAAAGATTTTATTTCATGAAGATAAGATGGAAGGAATGACTTAAACTTCATGAGTCAATTGACATTCGGATGGATTTTTATCATTCTGATATTTGCAATTGAAAGAAAGTTTTAATGTAAAGTGGGTCTGAAAATACTTTTTCCCCCTTTATATATAATGCTTAAGTAATTTTTAAAGCTTGTAATACTGAAAGTGTATTTGAAAGTATCTATGTTAAGAGAAAGTTAAAGAAAAGTTAAAGTTAAAGAAAAAGATGTATTAGCTTAAAGAAAAAATTAGAGTTTTAAAAAGAATGTATACAAGAAGAAAAATTTTATTTTATGAGGGCAATTTGGAGGGAGTGATTTAAATTTAAAAAGTTAATTGGAGTTACTTGGAACTGTGTTGGTCTAACTGAAAGTGAACTTTAAAGTTAAAAAAATTCTAAAAAGATATTAAAACTTTGATCTTAGAAATGTTTTTAAAGAAAAGTTTAGTGTTTTAAAACATGAAAAAAGTATTTTTTTTTTACCTTTTAAGGTTAACGAATCTGAAATAATACAGTGAATTTTGTTAATATAAATAGTGATAGTTTATAAAGATTAGGAGGAGGGGGGAGGAGGAGGAGGAGGAAGAGAAGGAGGAGGAGGAGGAGGAGACCTAGTCTGCCTCCCTAAATGAGCTAGTACAATATGATAAATTGCCCTTTGATAATTCATATAATGTTTCAAATTAGAATAAGAGGTAATCACATCATTTTTCACAGATTGATTAAAACATCAACTTGTTTCTTCTGAGTCTGTACCACATGGTACATTTTATGTTACACAGTATTTATTATTAAGCTGCACTTCCATTCCTATTTTAAGGCAGCCTGGTTTGGGCAAACAAACATCCATTAAATGTTAAGATTTATATGAGGGGCTCCACTTGTTATAGTGGACTGGGTCACCCATAGAACAATTCAATTTATGTCAACCACACTATGTGGTAAGGAGATAGTAAGACTGAAAATATATTTTAAAAAGCCCTTTTTATTATATTATAGAAATATAATAGAATGATTCAGATGGCATAAGCAAAAGAAATGCATGACATTAATGGCAATGGCAAAAATCCCTGTAATTTAGGCTTGTTGAGCATGGGCCAGGGGCAAAACTACTTGCAATAATGACTCAAAGCTCTTTTTCTTTATACCTGGGTTGCTTCCAAGTCATCTTGGACAATTGCATAAGTAATTATGTAATTTGAACACATTTCTGTTTACTCAAAACTATAATAAATATGCACAACAGTTCAGAGAGAATTAACGAGGTATTACATTAGACTCCAAATCAATCATGAGAAAGTACACTTCCAAACAGCCCAGCTAAACACTGTGGCTGGAAAATTTATTGGACAAGTTTTCTACTGTGTCAGGTAAGAAGTAATTAATAAAGCAGAGGAGCCAAAAGTGATACAGGTTACATGGCTCCATTGAGCAAAATATCTATCTTCTGGCTGGCATATCTCAAATTACCTTAGTTGTCAACTTCTGAAGTTCTTCCAAGAAAAAAAAGAAGAAATGAAAGAAAATCCATGACCTCCTGCTAACTTTCCTTTCCTTCAAGACTAATAAGCAAATGGGAATATTTAATTAGACCAAAGGATTAAGTGCCAGATATAGAACTTTTTGTGCTTTACTAATTGTATGGTTTCTTTTATAGAGCTTGTTTACTTATTAAGTTGTTCCCTTGCTGTTTTGCCAAAGAAGCTTGCTTCTCCCATTTAGGCAGCTTATAGGCCCACAACTACATTACATATAATTCCTGCACTCTGTTTGCTGGCTACAAAGCTTCTAAGAATGCAATGGAGCTGGACGTGATAAGTATGCTTTGGTATGCCATGTATTACTCTTTTCATTAGCTGCACTGGTTCTGGTTTCCTTCCAGGCAGATTCGAGGTCCTAGTTATGACCTATAAAATCCTACTTGGCCTAGAGTTTGGTTACTTGAGGGATCACCTAACTTCCATAGTGTAGCCTGGCTAATTTAGTCCAACAGGGTTGTTGCAGCTTCCTTTGATCAAGTATGACCATTTTTTAGAACCTGGAAGTCTTGTCTGTTGAAGTGCTGTCTTCCTGAAATATGAATGACTTTCACTCTGATGAACTCTCTTAAGGAGAACCACCAGGTCTTTATATGTTAGTCTAGAGTAGTGTAGAGTAGAGTATGGGTTGTTGATAACCATCCTAGTCTAGGGTGGTGTATAATAGATTATGTGTTGTTGGATAACCATTCCATTTATTGCTAAGTACTCTGTTTGGATTATATATTTGTTTTGTTGTTTTCTGCTGTGAGTCGTCAGGGGTCAATTGGAGTCATGCACATCTAAATCAAAACAAACAATCCAGAACTATTCATGCTAATAAAGTCTGTAATCTATAGGTGGCAAATAAAGCTACTGGATGAAAGTAGCCGCTCCTTGAGCAATCCTATTGAATTTCACCATCTCACACCATCAGAACCATGATAGATGCCCCTTTCTAGCTACTTTGTTCTTTGTGTACTGCCAAGGACACATGAAAGAATGGCAATAGGTAGTCATGACATTACTAATGTTATGCAACAGTAAATAAATAACTTCAATTCATTCTGCTCCATTGAAAGAGATTCCAGTATTACATAGGTACATTAAACAGGTTAAAATGAAAAGTGTCCTGGCAGTAAATCCAAATTTAAACCAACAGAATAGATACCATGAATCTACTAAAAACTGAATGGATTTCCCAGAACATAACCAAATGGATTTGATACAGCAATGAATATGCTAGAAAAATCACCCAGAGAATATACTATTGAGAAAATCTTAAACTACCTTGCAAACTCTGCCATGACTGCAAAGAAAAAACAGAACCTCTCCTGGATTCTATTTGTAGTCCAGAGCATCAAAAGACAATTCAAGTCACCAAACAGGAAGAAGGACTCTATCATGGGCCCACTGTTGTCCCCAAAGGTTTGGAAAACTATACTAGAATATGGCTCTCAGAGATTCTCCAGGCAAGCAATTGTTTAGCGATAGGATAATCTGAGGAATGCTTGGTGCTCTCTCTGAGCTTGATTGCTTGCAGACATTTCATTGTCCAGTGACAGTGATGTTACCTAACTGGATAACAAAATGTCCTCAAGCAGACAAACAAACAAACTCAGTGAGCAGCAAGGACTCCATGGTTCAGCCCCAAACTACAAATATTCTCTTACAGTGTCACCCTGCCTGTGAAGCCTTCTTCACTCACCCATCCCTGAAAGAGTGTGACCTATAGTTTGAGAATACTTGCTGTTTAGGAATAGAACCTTCCTTAATACAAACATCAGCATGTTGAAAGAAACCCAGAAGTAACCAGCTCTTATTGGCGTGTGCCTCCATTAAACAACTATGAGTAGCTTGTTTATCAGTGATCACAGAGTTGCCATAGCAATCACATTCCAAACAAAGGTAACATTAAATACTTTTTTCCCCTTATGAAACTACAAATGCTTTTACTTTCAGTAAAAAACTTTTACTATTACTGTCAAGTAATCTAATGAGAAATGCTTTAGAGCGATGTCTGAGACCATTAGAATATTTTTCTAAAGCTACTTACCAGTGTAGTAAAGATGTAATGATAGTATTCTGTCATCATTCCCATTGCTAAAGCCTGTAAAGAAAAATTCAGTATGCGCATTAACTTTTTTTTAAAAAAAAAGTTAGGTAACACCACTTTATTATTTCTACGGTTTTATTCTTATTGCTGTTTTTAATCACACCTATGAGAACAATGGAAAGCTCCCCTAAGATGAAGATGTGCATAAAAGTATAGGTCTAGAATTATACTAAAATTAGGCCAAGCAAATCATTTTTAAGCAGTTAGAGCAGATAACCGGCTATTAAAAGAATTAATGAAACAAAACTGTAGATAAAAACATTATTATTAGTAGACTGTTTAGTATTGCAAATATGAAAGAAGCATATTATTATTATTATTGTGATTGCCAACCAAAAAATCTAATGGAAGATGTGGCATTAATTGCATTTACTGTATTCTATAGTTTTTTATTATATAATGAACACTCACTGAAGAAAAATAAATTAAAAACAATGGAGTCAAAGAAGCTAAAATAGAATGCTGGCCATTAAATCTAAATCCCATTCTGCAAGGAAGACGTGCACCAAATATGAGCCCTGAACCAACATTTTTTTACATTAATGTCTAATATGAATAATATGTAATTTCTAATGCAAATTATATAATTAAAAATACTAAATAAATGTAGTTTTTCTACCTCCTGAAGCTGAACCAACTTCAGCTTCCCATTTTAAGCTTTTCTTTAAAAAAAAATATTTTCCATTTATCCAACATAATTATACAACAAAATTCACTTTGCAAAATAAAATAAATTCATAATCATAACCATAACCATAGGTGCCGCTTGCTCCCTCCCCCCAAGCTGCATCCACCCTCCCTAATACCTTCCTTACTTACTTCCCTCCTCTTTCTCTCCTCCCCTCACTACTCTCTTCCCCTCCCCTACTCCTCTTACCATCCTACTTCCTCCCTTCATCTTCCTCCCCTCTCATCCCTCTCGAATACATTTTAGGCTTTTCTTAATCATCTCTTTGATTAATAAATAAGAATTCTCCTTCATGATGTTGTCACTACATTAAATTGATTAAATGACCCCAAAGAATTTTAAACCAGACAAAGATCTGCCTAAACTAACAGCCAGTTAGAGATGCAAATAGATTTGAAATAGGCCATTGAGGACTTCCAGATGGGAAAAAAATGAGCTGATGAACCTTTGATTATTAGCATTCTTCTTGCTTTTTACTTCAGAGCATGTAAAGAAGCAATCCAAAACCAGTTAGGTCAGGGGTCCCAAACCCCCAGTCCATGGACTGGCACCGGGCCATGGTATGCCAGAAACTGGTCTGCAACAACAAGCAAAGCCCCAACCACAGGGTGCAGGCATGAAACTATGCCCCCTCCAGTCTGCAGAAAAACCTCTTTCCACAGAACTGGTCCCTGTTGCCCAAAAAACAGATCTGCGAACAACTAGAAGCAACAAAAGTTATAACTAGTGGCCAGCATAGATTTGTTAAAAACAAATCATGCCAAATCAAACTTATTTCATTCTTCGACAAAGTGACTAAACTAATAGACCAGCAAAATACTGTGGACATAGTATACTTAGACTTCAGTAAGGCATTTGATAAAGCAGACCACAACATACTCCTTGATAAGCTAGAAAAAGGTGAAATAAAAAACATCACCACCAGATGGATGGGCAAGACCAGGTTTAAAAACAGTTAACTGTGAGAGAGACCTTGGAGTCCTATGGACGATCACTTAAACCATGAGCCAGCAGTATGCAGCACCAGCCAAAAAAACTAATACAATCTTGGGTTATATAAACAGAGGCATAGAATCAAGATCACACAATCTTGATTCTATGTCTCTGATGGTATAGGTATAGCTACTGGTATAGCTACTGCTTTATAAAACCCTACTAAGACCACACCTGAAATACTGCAGCCAATTTTGGTCACCATATCACTTTTAAGGATTTGGCTAGTCCAAAGAAAAGAAGAAATAGGGGAGATATGATAGCAGTATTCCAGTATTTGAGGGGCTGCCACAAAGAAGAGGGGGTCACGTTATTCACCAAAGCACCAGAGGGCAGGACAAGAAACAATGGTTGGAAACTGTTCAAAGAGAGAAGCAACCTGGAATTAAGGAGAAATTTCCTGACAGTGAGGACAATTAACCAGTGGAATACCTTGTCCCAGAAATCGTGGGCACTCCATCACTGGAAAGTTTTAAGAAGAGACTAGACAGTCACTTGTCTGAGATGGTATAGGTTCTCCTGCTTGAGCAGGGGCTGGACTAGAAGACCTCCCTTCCAACTCTATTCTATTCTATTCTATTCTATTCTATTCTATTCTATTCTATTCTATTCTATTCTATTCTATTCTATTCTATTCTACCTCTGAGTTAGATTACTCATGTTACAGAACTTCAAGGAGTGCTATACTTCTCCTTAGGTATATCAAATGCTTCAGGAAAAGCCAAGTTTAAATTCTGATCATGATGTAAACCAGATGATATATAAAATGCTATATAATTATAATTACATACACAAAGAGGAATAAATACTTGTTTGGGGAGCTACTTTATTATTTTTGTTTGCTTATTTTCCACATAAGTAGCTTGAAACTGTAGAGGTGAGAGACAGGCAAAGATTGTGTGCAGAACACTGTCCCTCCAAAGCCTGTGTACCCCTCCTCTCTGCATCTATCTTGCTCACATTACCATAGTGATGTGGAAGTACGCAGGTCTGTGTGACCTTGGCCAGTTTGATAAGGCTGGCTGGTGAACAACAAGTTTCCCTGTTTATGGCCTCTAGCTTTTTATTCTTGAGGATTGGTAAAGGGTTTTAGCCAATGAAATGCTATTGCCATGCAGTAACTTTTGCTATTTGTAAAACTCTATATAAACAAATAAAGGCTGCGTGCGGCCAGCCATTTCTTTGCACCCTTCTTCGACTAAGGACTGATTACTACAGAAACGCCCTGCTTGTTAAAAAAAAATAATAATTCAGCAGTGAAAAACCTTTTATATGTATAAAGAAGGGCTATAAAATAAGGCACCACTCAGCTCTAATCCTTATAAAGAACCCATTTGTTTTTGCTGACATAGGAACTATCAAAAGCTACATTTGTTGTTCACTTACAGCATATTGGTACATTATAAATAATGCAGCCTGGCTGATGGACTAACTTATTGCTCTGGTTGCTTGGTTGCCAAGCTTTTTTAAAGCTAGCTTCACTCTAGTAAACATTTTGGAACCAAACATTTTAAAGTAGGTGAAAAATTAACTGGATTCAGCAATTTCAGATCTATGTTTTGGGCCATGAAACTTAGTTCTAATGTTTTCTTGGTGAGTAAAAAGAGTTTTCATCCTCACAAAGAACACTTCTCATGCAAAGATCCCTCTCATAGGCTCCATATTTTTCTGCCATGAAAGGAAGCTTCTTATGTCTCCACCCAGAAAAGTTGCCTCTAGACAAGTTGGGTTGTACAAAAATCTAATAAATAAAATAAAATAAAATGCTAAATGCTTTACAAGGAGGAGAATAAATAAAATAAAAGGGTTAGAAGCAAAGTTGGTATCTTGAACACAAGGGAGACTGCCATATTCATGCTCAAGCAGCTGAACTGTGGTTCTCAGCAGTGTAAATGTTGTCTGCCTTGCTGATTGCAAAAATTAGAAATTTACATCAAAGCACTCTCAAAGTTTAGCCACTGCACAAGTGCATTGTCATAACCAACCTGAGATAATGTTCATTTTGCAAACTGTGGAACAGGGCACTGTAAAACATGGCACTATATCTGCATGAATCTAAGATTCTGGCTGCTGACTCTTAATAGCTCATGATCTGTCCTGCTTATTTGAAGGTGGGTTTCCATAGCTTTCTTTATATAGTTTCTACAACCTGCCTGACTAAAACACGGTTTGAAACTCACTATATGCTGCAGGTCTGGGGTACTTGCAGACAAACAGATTTTCCACTTAACAGTCTTTTAAATGGCACTTCAAACACATCCCTAATCCATCTGAGATCTTCTAGAATGTCACCATTTGCTGTCTATTTATTTATTTATTTATGAGACTTATATACCGCTTTAAGTGCAAGCACTCTCTAAGCGGTGTACATCAGTAAGCAATGTATATATATATATATATATATATATATATATATATATATATATATATATATATTTACATAGGCCTATCTAGAGAGTCCATGGGGCTCATACAGATCAAGAACCCAACAGCAATTTTCTCTCTGAGCTGTTGGCCAATCAAGACTCAAAGTACATACATGGTATTTCTCCTCCTTATAAAGCTAAAGCATTTAGCAATCCCCTATAGGGATTTCTTCGCTTCTCATGATTGACATGCCAGCATTGTGACTCATTTAGTCATTCATGCTAGTAAACCACTGTGGCAAAGTTACCAAATCTGGAAGACAAGATGAATTGGGTCTTTTGTAAGAGAACCCTAAAACAGAACTTAACATGCAAAGAAGGGATTATTCACAGCTTTTAAAATGGAAATCCCACAGAAACAAAAGGGAAATGGTTCCAGTAAATGGCTTATAAATATAAGCTTCCAAATTGATGTCATTTGCTTATCGAGGCTCATATTCTACTAGACCACGGGTCGGCAACCCGTGGCTCCGGAGCCGCATGTGGCTCTTTGAGCCTTCTCCTGCAGCTGCAAGCCTCCTCTGCCATTTGCAGAGAGAGAGAGAGACAGAGAGAGGTATTTGTGCTTCCCTTCTCTCTCTCTCTCTCTCTCTCTCTCTCTCTCTCTCTCTCTCTCTCTCTGTGTGTGTGTGTGTGTGTGTGTGTGTGTGTGTGTGTGTGTGAAAAATAGAGTGGCCTCACCCTATTCTCCAAAAAGCTGACAAGCTTATTGGGTGGGGCTCCTCCCTTTGCTGCATCTCTGCAGGAAGCAGGAAGGGAAGGAGAGAGCCAGCCCAATAAGAATGCGTGTCAGTTGTTGAAGAACAGCTTGAAGCCAGCTTGCCAGGTGAGCAGAAGATCGCAGAGAAGGAAAGGGAGAGAGAGAGAGAGGGAGAGAGAGAGAGAGAGAGAGAGAGAGAGAGAGAGAACTCATGTACAGCAGCCTCTATTTCTTTTTAATTAAACTCTTCAGTCAAGCTCTTCCCCCCTCCAGTGTTTTCTTTTCTGTGAAACGGATCCAAGTGGCTCTTTGGGTGTTTAAGGTTGCAGACCCCTGTACTAGACTATAGCTGCATTTTTTTAAGTCAGCCCCTTAGTTCATGATTCATTGTATTTCATAAACCCCAGTAATCAGGTTAAGCCAATAAAATGTTTTAATTAACCATAGTTTTGTTATACAAACAAAGCTTGTTTTAGTAAGCCTCAAACTTGGAATTATAGTCTTTACAAAAAAATAATAATATTATTAGTTTTACAAATGGAATCACATGCTAAATACAGGATCAGGCCAGCTATATGTTTCTAAGAATGTTATTCCAACCAAGTTTTTAATATCAGTTCATTATGTACATTCCTGGTTATCTTTCCATGCTTTCTTCATTTTAGCAGCCTAATTTAGAGGGAAGGTGAAAGGAGAGAGGTAATGAAGAGTTGACAGTCCATCTGCATGTACTATTATTCCACGTTTATTTATGTGAAGATTTATGAGAAGATCTCCATTTATCGTCTCTTCACTCTTGCCTAGTTGGATCCAAGTTCATCAAAAATATAGTATTGAATAGGCTAAATAACCTGGCATCATATCTGTTTGCAGGATTTAGAAAATGTTATTCTTTGTTTGCATAAATGTGTATACACACTCAGTTTCTAAGATACCATGCAGTTTATTAATTAAAAATAGCACATTAAATGAACCAAGAGTGCTGGTTCATTACTTGAGCTAATTATTAATAATCAGTTGTTTTTTAATGGGATTTTATAATATGGTCAACACAGTTTCTTTTCTTTTGAACTAAGTCTCCCTCATATCCACATTAGTCTCTCTAATACAAGTAGTTCTCAACTTAACAACAGTTCCTTTAGTGACCATTCAAAGTTACAACAGCACTGAAAAAGGGACTTATGACTATTTTTCATATTTATAACCATTGCAGCATCCCCATGGTCACATGATCAAAATTCAGATAATACTAATAATAATACTAATAATAATAAAGTTGGAAGGGACTTTGGAGGTCATCTAGTCCAATTCCCTGCTCAGGCAGGAAACTATACCATTTCAGACAAATGGCTGTCCAATCTCTTCTTAAAGTCTTCCAGTTTTAAAGCAATCACAGCTTCTTAAGGCAGGTTGTTCCACTGATTAATTGTTCTAACTGTCAGGAAGTTTCTCCTTAGTTCTAGGGTGCTTCTTGTCCTGCCTTCAGGTGCTTGGCAATTGACTCATATATATGACGGTTGCATCGTCCCAGGTCATGTGCTCCTTTTTTGCAAACTTCTGACAAGCAAAGTCAATGGGGAAGCCAGATTCACTTAACAACCATGTTACTAACTTAACAACTGCAGTAATTTGCTTAACAAATGTGGCACAAAAGGTCGGTAAAATGGGACAAAGCTTACTTAACAAATGTCTCACTTAGTAACATAAATTTGAGGCTCAGTTCTGATTGTAAGTACAGGACTACCTGTACTTTGAGAGACTACTGAATTTTCATTGAAAACTGGAATTAAATGCAATGTTTTATGTACATCAAAATACATCTGAACAGATGACAATATAGACACTTCCATGGTATCGCGGTTTTTATTTTTCAGTCCCTTAGAACCAAACTGAAAGTCACTTGTGTTCTCTTCACTTCTGGGGATCTGAAACACTGAGAACCAGGAATAAAAATCACTGCCTTGTTTTGAGCTGCCTGAGAGTCTAAAATAATAATAATAATAATAAAAACCTTATTCTCACGGTAAACCAGAAAAGGAATTATAAATACCATGGTATATTGCATGTGGGATTCATTTCTTGAAAAAAAAAGAGAGAGGAAACTGACAGAGATTTATTAATTCATTTTGTTATGAAGAAAAAATGCAAATGTTCCAAGCCAGAATTTCCCTTACGGGATCTGCTAAGGGATATGAGTTCAGGCACAGACAACAGATAAGACAAGATCTCTCCAAAAAAGAAACTGTGTGCTACCAAGTTCTACAGAATTACAAATTTTCTTGATGAAATCCATTTACAGCAGTTCCTCTTGTACCGCATATGAGCTTAAGTAAATCAGTTCAACTGCAGAAGAGCTGCTGGGGCAAGTCATCGCAAAGGGGAAAAGGCCATTGTGAAGTAGGACCTGTAAAGGTTCCTTTTGGGATGCAAAGTAGATCTCACATGTATCAGCACAGAAGAAATTGAATACAGTACTTGAAATAATGGACAGACTCCCATAGAGAATTAAAGGAAAAGAAGATACAGTATACTTTCAAACATAGAACTTATTTTATCAATGGTTGGAAAAGCAAGATAGAGAGTAAGAGCTTATCTTTATGATTAGGCAAAATCAACCCAGACAACACTTTGTTTTTTAAGCATAAATGAATTGTAATGATAGAAAACTAATAAAATACTTTAAAAAAAGAATGACTGAATCATGCTTCCATGTACCTGCAACTCATAGGTTAATGTCTGTGTTAAGGCTAACCACACTGACTTTAAAATGTCTATTGTCTCTGAGAAAGGATAAGAGAAAGGGAAAAGGTATGCTTACCTGTTTTAAAATACCTGCTGCCATCTCATGACTGCAGTCAAAGATGACGTGGAATTCTTTGCCTCTTTTCATCTCCTTGAGCAAAGGCTTGGCATCCTTGGTGTCAGAAGGTAGCTGGCGAATTTTTAGACGCAAATTGTACCTTGATGGAGCCTTAATAAGTTCTTGCAATCGAATGAGACCTTTGTTCAGAGAAATAAGAGAAGATAAAGGGATTCAGAAGATACATTATAGTAAGAACAAAAGGAAGCTATCAAAATGTTAATAAGCTGACACAACAGCTTCTAGCTTATCATCACTGCTGTACTTCTAAAATGTGTTTCCTTTTCATTTACTGACCATTATATAAAGTATGTACATAAACCAACATTTGAAAATGGTGCATGAGCACTTCCTCGCCAAAGCCTCTCCCTTTCCTTCTTTGCTAATATTGATTGAAAAATAAGGAGCTCAGTTTACCCCATGAAACAAATCTTCCTTATTTGAGAATTATGCTAATTTTCTTCCTCATAATAGGTAGTGGTACATTAATTGATTTAGACCAATATGTTTCATTAATAGTTTGTAATCACCCTATTTTAAAAATCTTGCATATAGATTTCCTTCATTAGGCTCTGCATGGACCATCCTCAGATCATCTGCATCAATGTTCTGAAGATATTTAGCCTCCTTAATCATATAATTAGGATTGCTTCATTCATCGCAATAATTCAGTTATTAAGTTATGCATGACAGAAAGTAAACCTGCCATATTAGAGATTTTACCAAGTACACTGACCGCATGAGGGAAAGATTTTATATCTGCAACTTTTAAAAAAGGGCATTTGCATATTGGGATAGAATAACATTGAACTTATAGATTTAATAGGCCATTGCAACCCCCCAAAAAATAAATGCATACAAAATGTGGTGTTACAGAATAAGAGTCAGCCTAATATGGCAATAGAGTGACAGAATGTAAGATTGGAAAAACATGAAAATGTGAAAAAAAAAACAGATTTAATGGAGGTATCACATATTTTTGTCCAAATAGATATTTAGCTAAGGGTTAAGTCTGTAATTTTATGTTTATATTCAACACAGGTTCAGCTGTCTAAAACATATTCCCATCTGCAGTAGGTAAAGCTTTGCAATATAAATCCAAGATAGAATGATATTATAAACTATGGGCATGCATCAGTTGAGTATTATTTGATATATTATTAACTGAGTGAAAGTTTCCCTTGATACCAACCAAATGGCTTGTCCTTATATTAGATTCTTTTTTAAATTTAAAATGTATATAAGTAAGAAGTTATGCGGTGAAGTGTCAGCCTCCAACAGAATCTTTGTTCCCAAGAATGTATCTTAACCCAACATAGTCTTTCAGAAGCATCTTTTAAAAATAAAAATGGTATGAGCTGCAATCAGATATTTTATTTGAAAATTTGCTCACAGAACAGGAAGAAAAACAGAAAGACAAACTGGGAATATACTGTAAAAGGCAGGCTGGTAGTGCTGGATAGATTGGTAGGGAACAACCTCAACAATGCTTCTCAGACATGGGTGAGGTTCACCATAACAATCATATTGCAAATTATCAAAAAGGCGATCAATGCATTCTCCCAAAATTCCAAAAGTCCCCATTGCTGAAAAGGTAAATGAGTATAAATCAGGACCGCTAAGATTATCAATGTTAAATGTACTTCCCTCAGAATCTTGACTGCAGTTTCCAAATTTGGTGTCAAACTGTAGTTTTTAAAATGAAGAGAACTAGAAATTAAGATTACATGACTGAAAGAAAATGTGTATTTGATTTTTATTAAAAAATAAATTACATTATATCTATTTGTTTTTTAAACAAAGTTTAATGAGTTTCAGAAAGAAATAAAATACAAAGTAAAATAAAAAGAAGGGGAGAGGAAGAGATGAAATGGGTAAAGAAGTTAAAAAGTGACAAAAATATGAAAAAAATACAAAAGGAAAAACTTTTGACTTTCTTTGGTATAGATACAAGTGTATAATAAAGTACTTCTTACTCTAAGTTAAAACAAAAAGACAAAAACATAATATTAAAAATACACAAATTAAATAATCAAAATAACACTACAGCTATATAATAAAATAACCTCTTACTCTAAATTTAAGAATAAAAAGTACAAAATATACATGTCTAATAATAACAATAAAAATGCACAATATTTCTACAATCATAACTGATCAAATTGTGAAGTTTTTGTCTGTGTTTTTAAAATTAATCTCTCATAAGCCAAATATGACCCTGAACATAGCACAATTACACAACTCTATGTAAATGAATACTTAGAATTAATTTTGGGGATTCAGACACAGTGGAATAAGGACTGAATGAAAATTATTTTCTTTAAAAATGATAAATATATTTTCTACATACTATATAGCTTTGGTGATGTTTATTAAATGTTAACATCAATCACAGACTTCTTGATTTTTAAAAATTTTATTAGATGGTGACCCAATCTGTAAAAAGCAACTCTGAATGATTTACAATTTGTAGGAGTGTAAAAATCACTCCTGCAAAACCATAAAAATGCCCCAAACCACTTTTTTTTACCATTTAGGAAAATAAGTAAATAATCTGTTTTAAGCATCATGAACTATTCTTAGCTCACTAGTACACAAAAATGAGAATTAACATTTTTATCCTTAGTTGGCAGGCATTTTACTATAAAGTTTCTTGATAAATGAGACCACAAAAATGCTAAGAAAACTATTAATGCTGGACTACAGAAAAACTGATTACCTGGAAGCACCTTAGCATGTTTATACTGTAGTAAGGTAGAATTGCGCAGTTTAGTTTCCAGCAAAAAGCTTTTGACATCACAGTATTTATTAGCTCTACATACATGTCATTTTCTTTTTAAAAAATCAACAACTATCTCTGCTGGGTTCATAATGCATTTCCTGCAGACCAATTTTCTAATTATAGCTGTCTTCAGTTATCAATAGTCCTTGGCTTACCGCCAGTAGTTTAGCAATTCTTTGGAATTATGATAGCCTTAGAAAGGATAAACCAGTTCTGGCCAACACCCATTCAGGAGATTGGGTTTGGACTTACTATTGTGTGATTTGCTTAATGACCACTGTGAAAAGAGTTGTAATATTGTGTCAGGTTATGTGGGTGCCTCAACTTACAATTGTAATTCTGTCCAATGGTTCCTTTTGGGAATTCAAAGTTAATCCTTGCTGAGAAAAACTGAATATACAACTTACATGGAATTCAGCAAACCGGTATTTATGAAAAACTTTCAGTCCAGCAAATAGATTTCGTAAAGGACAGTTTCATCATCTTTGAACAAGGTGGATAGAAAAACTATTCCAAATAATTCAGAAAGATGACACCAGTAAAGACCATTTTGTGTCTGATTATCGTTTATGAGGGCTGGCTTCCAATATCACTTCAGCAGTTTAAAACTGTGAAGATTAGATTAATCTAACAATATATCATATAGAACAAAATAGTAAGCATAATCTTGTCCAATATAACAACTAGGCAAGCAGGATTGTAAATTATCTTGTTTGCATGCTAGATTACTCCTTGCATTGCGTCTGCTAAGATGTTTAATGCTGAATACATAAGAAGGGTAAAGAGGAAGAATAAAAGAATAACAAATTAACCTATCACTAATTGATTGTCAACTGTGTGCTACAAATTCATCCACAGAAATTTACACTTATACCCCATCATCAGAAGATAATGCATTAACCATTCACGAATGTTGAGTATATTAATTCAGTAAGAATGCCTCACTAAAAACTGTTTAACTACCTTGATTTATAAAAATTAAATAGAGTTTTCTAAGAGCCTCTTGGAAAAAAATTAATAGCACTCTGCCAACCATGGAACACTGGAACTCTTAAAAGTTATAAGAGAAGACAAAGAGGAATGACAAAGAAGAGAGGAACAAACACTAGAAAATGTAGGAATTAAGGTGGCTGCATTATGCTATGTTATTCCATTGGTGCAACTTGCTCATTGTTATATGAAGTGACTGACACTGTTCTCTAGGATTTCAGATATGAAACTATTCCAGCCCTGGAAATATTGGGAACTGAAGCTGACATCTTCTTCATGCAAAGTAAAAATCTCACTGCTTAATAAAATATATCCTGACCAAATAAATATGTCTATTATAAGTATTGCAGGCTAAGTATAGGATTTAGAACTTGAACCCATGGCCAAACGTAGTATGCTAATGAGAATTTTCAAAGGAGGCAGCACCAGTAAATGATAAGACTGAACATTTCTTTCTTCTCTACAGGAGAAAAAAAACAGCTTTCATATTATGCAATATGGGTTGTTGAGTAAACCATAGCAACATAATTCATGCATAATAGTAAGCCCTGAGTTAAGGGTTTGGTTCCTACATTGCACTCACAGAGATAAACAACATTATACTGTAGTTCAAGACAATGGTCCTAGAAATATTGTATAGGAAGTTTCACCATGAATCTATAATGTCCTGGATTTTATAATCAAGAATGAAACCAAAGATCAAACCTGTAAAAGCAAAGAAAAGCTATTCAAATCTTATAACTTGCTCAGAGTATTCAAACTTTTCAGCCCAGATAGCATTTCTCGTTTCCAAGAAAATATGCTCCATTTAAATCTTCCATCTATTTCCCATCCCACCCTATTGTAGTAGAAAATAAACAGATAACAGAAATGTCATTATGGTTCCTGCTTATTTCTCAGGCTCACAGGAAGAATGGGAATTGTAATCATAATGTAGGTATGAATGGTTATTTAGTGATTAGTTTATATTTGAATGTCACCTGTATTATTTCATTTGAGAAAACTTAACACTGAGCTAAATTTAAATATGACTGACAATCAAATATAACCTTAATTATGCTAATAAGAAAAACACAGGTTAAAACTGAGAAACGTTGTCTTGCAGAAAAAGACAAGTAGTCACATTGTACCTTAATCCAGCTTTTCTTTGGAAAGATGTTTCATTATTGGAATGTCAGAAATGAAAAAGTTCTTTCTTACTCAGTTCATTTGTTCATTAATTCAATCAACCAGTAGAGCTAAAAATGGTGTTGGAACTTATTAACAACTTGTACTTTTAAAACTGTCTGACAATGCACCTTTATCTGCCTGAGTTTTCCTTTTCTGGGCTATTAGCAGACTCATAGCAGACTCACAAAAAATAATAAA